CGTGACATCATGTATTACCACGGCTTCGCCGTGCTAATTCATGATATTCACAACAGCCCGTGGAATATCTATTACTTATTCAATTATCTCAGTGAGATGAATTGAATGTTATAAAAATCATTTAATTCTAATCATTAGATCACAAGATATACCTTGTTTTGCTGTATACCCCCATATATTTAAAATATTTAAGTATGTATTTGAGTTTAAATTGTTTAACAATTTACATAATTATTATAAACATTTTGATTTAATTATAGTTTTTATTATAATATTCAACATACCTTTACAAGCATATTTTTAGTAACTATTTGAGCTTGGAAAATGCTACGTACTGTACTTACTCTAGCATAAAGTAAGAAAATAAGATGAGGAAATTTTTTTTTAAATCTCAATTGATAATTAATTAAAAATTGAAAAAATTTTATGCATCCTTCTTAAATTATATTTAATAATACTCTAAGCGCAAACTCTTCACTTTAACCACATGCCCTAAGTACAACATAGATATTTTTTATACACACGCAAAAAGTTTGTTATACTAAATGATTTTCATATAGATTACCTAACTCTAACAGTTAATTCACTCACCTCTTACATATGGTTAGTATAAATTTTTCATATTTGTATTAGGAGATAACCGAATAAAAAGTCATTTAGTGTTACGTCAGACATATAGGATAACCCAGTTACCAGTCATGGTGATTACCGATACTTCACAACGGCTTGACATTCAGCAACGTCATAAGCACAATATCCTAGTGAATAATCTACAACACTATTATTTTATTTTACATATTGTCCCTGAACTGTATCACAAAGTAACATCACATACAACTCATGATCATGCTTTACAAGTCAACATTGGATACAAAAGATCATAACGATAAACGTTGTTTGCAAATAAATAGATACTGTAAATAACTATAGAATTTATTATATTTTAATTAAAAAGAATATACCAGGCCTACCGAAAAATTAATTGCAATCAATTTTGTCATAATTTTAATTGATTGCAATTGTATATGCACGTGACAAAATTAATTGAAACCCAATTAATGACGAAATAATTGCAATTAATTGCAATTAAATTCAATTTTCTTTAACGTTAACTATACCCTGTAGAGCGCTGCATAAAGTACTCCGATGTAATACAATTTTTTAAATAGTGATCAACATAATCGTATTTAATCATTAATCAATCAGGTTGCCGTAGATTTGTCACAATACGTAACAATAATTGCAATTAATTGACTAATTGTGGCTGCGCCAACAATTAATTAATTGTAGCCAAATAATTGCAATTAATTTCCACTACAATAAATTATTCGGTACGCCTGCTATTTAACATCCTAATAAAATTAAAGTTTCTGCATAAAAAATTTATTTGTATCCTATGATCAATTTTTATCTAAAGATGGTTTATCTAAAAAATTTTATTATTTTACGTCATAAATCAAAAATAGTCTCGACCAAACCAAATCCCGTTAAATATTATATTCTTATCGTTATCTATGAGCATACCAAATATATTTTTTATATGTCACGTGTAATTTACGTATAACAATGTACAAAGGAACATTCCTTTGAAGCGGGTACACTGAAGGGTATTTGTGCAATATTTGTAAATGCAAGGAATTCTGGTGGATCATGTAAAAGTTAACAACAGAATTTCATATGAACAGTAAAAAACTTGTTACATGTATTTACTGGTTTTGCCTTTCCAGCGAGTTCGGAATTAAATCCACACAACTGGTACAAATCTTTTGATTTCCCCAATGTTGCGTATGTACAATAATATCTACTTTTGGCCAAATTTCATAAGTTAGGTGTCAGAGAAATGATATAGACCGTTCTAAGGGATCCGGTTGGAATTATGTAACAACAATTTATTATAATGTTAGACCAGTTAAAATCAATCAATTTGTATCACATTAATGCATGCCAACCTCCTAAATTCCGATCCGGATATTCCCAGTGAGTAGATTAGAGATTAGTTGATCCTTACCTTTTACAATTGCCTTTTTTGAATTTAGAATTTTAAATGTGGAATTGAATTTTGAAATTATCGAAACCAGCAAAGTGCTCGTATTGAACTGTATGATTCCTGTGTTGAGACTTTTCTGAAAGCTGTTTATTAGCAATATTAGGAATTTAGGTAATGTCTCCTGCTATATTTTCTTCTGTACATTATGTAGGTTATGTAGGACGATAATCGTGTACAAGATTTGCATGCATAAATACAAATAATTCATTCTCTCAAAAAAAAAAAAACCCATTATTTGTTGACTGAAAATCATTGCATATTCTTGTTGTATAGCCTTATGTTAGAAAATTTCATCCACATTTTTACTTATCGGCCTTGATTAATTATCAGTTTAGGCGTATTTGATATCCGAAGTTCGCTTGTTGTCATTTTAAAAATTTTTACCTTATCACAATATAAAGGTTTGAAGTTTTTTATTCAGTAAAGTCATCATGTAAACAAAATTCTAATTAAACATTCCATGTTTAGAATGTTACCACTTCCCAACGATTGTGTTAGAGAAATCATAAACTACATAAAAGACGACTTTTCTTCTCTTCATTCTTGTCTTACGGTAAATAAACAATTCGGTGAAACTGCTGCTGAGATTTTTTGGAAAAATCTCTGGACATCGCGAAGCCATGTTGGCTTTCATGAAGGTGCTTTTGACTTTTGGACTGCTGCTCTTCGAACATTAAAATCTTGTTTGCCAAATGATTCCAAAGATTTGTTGAATCATAATGGTGTTACAATACCTCATCCAAATCAAAGCAATCAGTTATATTATGACTATCCTAGCTATTGCAAAACGATAGATTGTTTGGCAATTTCTAATATGATAGAGCAAGTGATTAGTGTGACTCACGAAAACGATCGTCCTAGAAGATTAGCATACATTCAACATCTTTTGCAAGAAGAAATATGCAAATTATTTATAAATCGAAATCACTCCATACCAACTCTTAAGCTTGATGTATTACCCATAGCTTATTTGCCAGGCGCTGATAGATGTTTTGAGAACCTTTCTGAACTACATTGCCACACAGCAACACCAGATCTCCTATTCTATGCTTTGGCTCGGATTTGTAAAAATATTCAAAATATTATCATCGACTTTTATGATGAGGATAATCTTGGTCTGTCAGGTTTGATTGACGTACAACAAAACCTAAAACGTTTAGAGTGTAGAATCGATGAGTTAGCCGAATATCAACGATTTCCTGCAATAATGGATGTGATAAAATCAAACACAAGCTCATTCGTTCATCTCGAACTTTTACATTTTACATGTATTCCACCTTCGATAATCTCATCAATGCAAAATTTACAAACACTTAAGATCTTGTTGGCCAAAATGCCACATGATGACGTTTGGGAGGAACTCGCTGCAATACGTTTGCCAAAATTGGAGACCCTTCATATTTCTCTGGATTCACTACGAATAGAATCTTTAAATCCTTTAATCGCAAATAATAACGGTAACCTCACCGAATTAATAATTGATTTTAGTCCAAGAAATAATCAATCAATATTCTTTAATGAAACGGTCGCCCAATTTTGCCCAAACTTAAAAGTCTTTGCTACATGGTTTCTAAATAGTGAATTTGATGTACTTGAAGAGATATTAACCAAATGTCAATATTTAGAAGACTTGTTCCTTCAAGCTTTTAATGAAAATGGTTATAGATTATTCAAATTATTAGGGAAAGTTACCCCAAAACATTTTTGGACATTAGGATTATTAGGAAATTGGTGTGATCCATCAGATTCTCTAGAGTCTTGTTTTGAATGCTGGGAAATGAAAAAGAACCATGTCTCTTTGATTTTCTCTATGAATGTATGTATTGATTCCAAGCACATGGATCTTATTCTTAAATATCGTGAAAAAGGGGTGGTTAGACGGTATAAAACTGTGAAAAATCCCGTAAAGCATGAATTCAATTATTCATAACATATATGTAAAATTTTATTAATTATGAATGTGTTAACTTTTTTTTTTTCTTTTTAAGAGGTTTATATAAGAACATTACAAATTGTACTCTAGACAGACCGAGATCCTAACGTTCAATGGGGTATTGTTACAAATGACCGCTATTCAAGTTTTATTTAAGCTCTGTATCTTCTTTTTAACAAGTAAATTAATAGACAAAATGGAGGATTTTTTTCTTTTCCTTTTTTTTTTTTTTTTATGCACCAAGACAAAATACGTTCAAAACTTAAATATGATTTTTAATTTTTACGAAAGAAAAAGTCTGTTAACTGGATTATAATGCAATAAAAAAAATAAAATAGATCAAGTATTTAATTTGTTGCTTGCGTTTTATTTAGTTAATATCTAAGTTATTACTGTGAAATAACAGCTTGTCATTATTCGAAAATCGTGTCTTTAAAATAACATACTCTGGTTCACGAAATGACGCGTACTTTAAATTTCTAAATAACTTATATGTATACTCGAAATAACGCGCAGTAGGGTTGGGGGCACGGTTTCCCAAGGCATGCCTCAGGGGCATGCCCAGGGAGGCATGCCTAGGGCATGCCCTTTGGCTAAAAGGCATGCCTCTACTCTTTTATATAGAAAAACCTCAGATATGAAGTTTCGTTGATTTGATTGGTCAATTATCATAGTTGATTTGACATAAGTTAGGTTAATCAATTATGATATCTAGAGAGAGCATGCCCAGGGCACAGAGGGGCATGCCCTCAACAAAGGCATGCCCAAAAAATTTTCCGTGCCCCAACCCTACCCGCGGGACAAGGTCTGAAACCCTGAAGGCAGGGCTCGAGACCCGCAAGAATTAAAATGTATAAATACAATGCTCAAAGTTAATAAAGAAACTCAACCTTCTCTTGCTCTCGCTTAATAAAATCATAATAAATATAACAATAATTACTACGATTGTAACTAATTGACATCTGATCGCTTAAAAATAATATAATAATACTCCGTCCCTCCTTGATTATTGTATAATAAATAATTACTTCCCTCCTAGTATCATACGATAAACAACATCTTTCCGTTCCCCTATTAATAATAAATAACGTAATACATTACATTCCTTTAACTTACCTAAACTTGAATTCATGTTCACGCTCTGAGTTAGATTGACGTTGTATAATCGATAGCCCTCCCAGTTCGTGACGACATTCCTAAACTCTAATTTAGAAATACCCAGAGGATCAAATCCGGCCACCTTTTTGTAAACCATAGCCCTGAAATACGACAAACAAACGGAGATTATAACAAAACTTATTAGATTTTCAAAAAAATTACAATGGGTGATAACTTATTGATTGCGAATTTATTCTCTATAAAGGATAAAACAGCATTGATTACGGGTGGTGCCACAGGAATTGGCAAAATGATCGCGAAAGCATTTGTTAAAAATGGTGTTAAAGTTTATATCGCATCAAGGAATAAAAAAAAGCTTGAAGAAAGTAATTTTTGATAATTATTATTAAGATATTAAAAATTTTATAATTAAAATAATTTTTTAATAATTAAAAAAAAAATTTTAATGTATAAATTTATTTTTTTTAAGCTGCCGATGAGTTAACAAAAATGGGACCTGGAGTATGTTACGTTATCGAAGCAAATTTAACTTCTAAAGAAGCATGTGAAAAACTTACTGCAGAGTTTGAAAAATTAGGAAATGAAAAACTTGATATTCTTGTGAATAATGCTGGTATGGTAGGATGTAGCGTTCCTTTGACAGATTTTTCTGAAAAAGTATGGGATGATATGTATAATCTACATGTTAAAAGTGTTTTTTATTTGACAATGGCGTAAGAAAATATTATCATTCATAAATATGAGTTGTGATAGTATACACTAATTATTACTAAAGTATTAAATTTTTTATACAATAGCTGCTTACCATTGCTTGAAAGAGCTAGCAATAAATTAATTGATCCATCAAGAGTGATTATAACTGGAAGCATTCTTGGTAGCTAATTTTTTTTTAAAAACAATTATTTTTTTTTAATCTTATAATACTAATTTCCTTTGTATAATCAGGTATTGGCAATGGTGATCCCAAGTTTTCACAAAGCCGTGAAGTATGTGCCTTGCTTTATTCCTCTTCCAAACATGCTGTACATAGTGTTGCGAAAAACTTGGCTGTTCATATTACGTATATATACCATTTAAAACTTTGTTTTTTTAAATTTGATTTTTTTAATCTAAAGAATTATTGTTTTTTTATTTCAAACAGCCCCAAAGGAGTAAATGTTAATATTCTTGCACCTGGTGTTGTTCCTGTAAAGGATATATTTTATCAACATATGGACGCTATTGTCTCTGATATTCCTCAAGGTAGATAAAAATCATTAGATCATCATTTTTAATTGTCACTTAAAAACTTTTTTTTTTTTAGGTCGTGCTGGAAAAGAAGAGGATATTGCTGGTGCAGCAATATACTTATCTTCACGTGCTAGTAGTTGGTAACTGGTACAGAAATTGTAGTTGATGGCGGAACTCTTTTAACCTTTAAATTATCAAACGCGTAGATCGAAAATTTATAATTTTGAAAAAAAAATAGAATTAATATGGTTTAGAGGTCGATAGTAAATCATTTTGTAATGTTCTAATTCGGTTGTAACCCTCCGACAAACCGGTTTTTAAATTAGCATTCGGTTTCGAAATTACGTGTTAATAACAATATATCCTGTAACAAAAAAGTAATTTCAGGTTTTTTCTTTTAGGCTAAATATTTATCCGATGATTCGAATTAAATTCGGTTTAAGCCAATCCGGTTTAGCATAAATCGGTTTTTTTCATAACGATAATCGTATTTAAACAATTCGGGTTTTAAATTTTACAACCGATTCCGACCTATAGTATGGTTTAAATATTTATAATTCGTCATATATTCACATATTTAAAAGGCTTGTTATAAAAGTAATCGATTATAATATTAACTTTATTACCAAAAGTTGAGCACTATCGCCCCAATGAATGTTTGACATTAAAAGTTACGGTTACGACAATTCGTGATGTAGTTTTTTTTTTATTAAGCTATAAATAAGCGTAACTATAATTTATCGTATCAAAAATTCATTGGAACTTCATTAAGACAATTCTACTGCATCACTACTAATGATACCTCTCATTATAAAATCATTTGGCAATACAAATTTCATTCACAGATAAAGAGACTTTATGCGTTAAAAAATAAATATATACTGTAATCTCAAAACCCCAAAATAATTCTTTTAACAATACATTATATAATAAATCAATAATTACAATATACAATCATAATTGGTTCCATAATCCATGAAATCTATAAGGAACAACTTTTCCATGATCCATTTCTGCTCTGGCAATTTCTTTAAAAGATTTAGCATCTAAAATCGATAAAAAAAACCAGTATTCTTTGTACTATCAAGTACTACACTTGTTATTATACTATCATCTTCTTCAACAGCACTCGGTGCAGGAACAAAAATTGGGTCACTAGGTGTGCATCCAAATTGTTACCAAATTTTATGATTAAATGAACCATTTCAGTTCTATGGAGATCAATTTTTATGAGATGATCGAAGACAATGTGAGGATTAGAATCTGAGTGTGAGATACCTAAATTATCACAAGAATCAAAAGTTATCTTTTTGTACATGTAAAAACTTAAATATGCTTAAGAGTTTATACATAAATTTACCATAGACGTATCAATACTTTTTCATATAATATCTTGAAAAATCAACCACTGAAAGTTCAACATTCAAATCTTCAGGAGTCGCAAATACAATGGAAATTTATCGCTACTATATTTCAAATCTGCGCTATCTAAATTTTTCGAGATATTGCACAACTTATACCTATATACTCTACCATAATCGAATTGTAATTTAACAGAATTAGTTTCAGATCCCGAAAGTTGAACAAGTGTAAGTTGAAAAATGACACTATTATCTTTGTATTGAGATAAATCAATGATGATATCGTCTCCTTCATCATCTGCGTTATAGTATGAAAACAAAAGAATGTTGGAAAGGTATAGGTGGCCACATGTTTTTTGAGGTTACGATCAATTACGTAGAAGTAAGTCCTTTGATTGGGATTAGTGATGCCGACAATACCTTTTATCAAACTTGATAAAAGTATAAACTAGTTACGTGATAGGTTTATACTGTTTATATTTTTGAGGCTCAGTAAAAACTATTAAATAGGGATGTTAATCGAACATTTGGGATCGAGTCCTGACCGATCCTTGAAAGGATCTGTTAGGACTCGATCTTGTATTCATGTGATAGTTATATGGGACTCAGATCCTAATTCGATTTTTGGACCCAGTCCTTTTAAAAATTCTAGGATCTGCCTTTGTTAAACGTTAAATTAAATTCTTCATATAAAAATGAGTTTTATGCATAGGAAACCTTTCTTGTAAGTTTTGTCAAACCACTGAGAGTTATGAAAAAAATTAGTAATAGATAAATATTTAATATCTACTCATGAATCCTTGCCAGGTATGAAAGCGAAGGTTTCTACCAATATACTCATATTTGAAGCAAATATGTTTTTAAAAAAAAATTCGAATAATTTACAGTCCAATTCAAGTAGTAAAGTTTCAACAACTAGGAGTATAATATGTACTTGGAACTTACGCTTTTAAACTAACATTTTAGTAGGAAAGCAGCATATTAAAAGTAACCATCTCTGGATCTAAATAATAATTAAAAAAATTTATAAAATTAACTTATCAGTATATCAAAGTGACTGAAGGCATCCATCCTGTAAGAAAAAAAAACTCATTAATATATTTAATAACAAAAGAAGGTTTTTATTGAACATAGTATATAATGTTAAAAATAATAACAGAACATAGTTTGCAATAATATTCTTTGTTAAAATGATAACTGAATATAGTATGTAATACTATTCTTTGCTAAAATGATAACAAAAGTGATACACTTTAATAACTTCCATATGAACTATAAAAGTTAAAAGCTGGTTTCTTCGCAATTCAATAACAAAAGTAATGCATATTTTTTTTCATAAGTTTCAATCACAAAAGTACACATCTCAGAAAAGCTAGCTATTCTCTAATTCAATCTTTAACAAAGATAATGTACTTTATTTTTTTAAAATTTTTTGTTACAAAGATATATACTAATTCAATTTTAAAAAACAAAAGCAATATGTGTTTTTGTTCTTTTGTTTTTTTTTTGATTTCATAGCAATTTTTAGCAACAATAGTAAGAAATTTCAAAATATTTAAAAACATGATCAAATTAAAAAAAATAATTTATAAAACAAAAATGAAACTTGACAAATTTGAATTTATAGATAAAGAAACTTTAAATGAAGAATTCAAACTTATAGATAGAGAAACCTTAAATGATAAAACATCTATAAATGAAGAAACTACATTATCTTTATCCTCTAATAATCTAGTAAATAGAGTGCGAAAGTATACTAACTGATCACCCATTAGAAACTATCTTGAACAAACCTCTGATAGAGAAAAAAAGTATAAACTTTGTCATCAAATATTTGGAAACTTGACTACAATAACAACTATCAACAGGCACTTTCAAAATTTTTATCTATCAGAATATACTACTATAAAAAAAAAATAAATATAAACAACTCAACCCTTATAGCCAAAATGATAAATTAAAAGTAGATACGTTAAATGACAAATTATTAGAATAGGTAATCATGAACTAACAAGTATTTTTATTAACTAATGGTATAGAATTCTTTAACTTTATACAAGAACTTGACTCTTAATATAGAGTACTATGTCACCAAACTCTCTCAATTTGGGTTCATCAACAATATGTAGCTAATAAAATTAAAATTAAAGTTTTTTTAAATCAAATCCTATTAAAAATTTCAATTACAATAGATGGCTAGTCAACATATACTCAGCAGCTATATATTGGTATAACTGCTTACTAAATAGATATGGAATAGAATTTGCATCAAATCCTACTTAATATAATTTCATTTGATAAAGCTTACACTGCAGCAAACCAAGCTAATATAATAATTAAACTCTTGAAAGAAATAGATATTAGCGAGAAGCTTTTGGATATTACAACAGACAATGCTAGTAATATGATCTCTATAGAATATATCTTAAAAGAGAAGTTATACCATAAATTTAATAATGAAAATATATAACATTTTTGTTGTAATGCACATGTTCTTAACCTTGATATTAAAGAAGGATTAAAATTGATTAGTAAAAAAATTAAAAAAGCAAAAGAGTTTTCAATGAAACTTTGAAACTTCCAATCATTAATTAGAGAACTAAAAAAAAATTTTAAAATAAAGAATACTTCATTTTTAATATCTGAAACAGATATTGAAACTCGTTGAAATAGTTTATATATCATGCTAGAGAAGTTTCAACAAATTCACTCTATAACTGATATTCTTGTTATAAGTAACTAGGCATTAAAACTGAATTATTCAAATAATCAAGAATGAAAAATAATTTCTGTTAGTAAATTAATATTTTTCTATTATATAGAATCACTAATTCAATCTTTGACTAATCATATATGAATTGTAGAACTTGCTAGTTTTTCTTAAACCCATGTACTATACAACTATAATACTGTCTTTTTCTTCAGTTCTTACTCAAAGTGACTTGTATATGATATTCTATAGCTTTGCTATATATTTGAATAACAATGTGAATTCAGAAGTTAATACTTAACATGAAGTAGCTAAAGTAATAAAAGGAAAACTTATATTGTATTGGGCTCATCTAAATGATTTATTAACAATTTTGGATCTTCTTGATCTATGTAATAAATTCACTACCTATAAACTTGATAAATATAAACAAGCTATTAATACACTCTATGAAATGTATAAATGTATAAGCCAAATAAAGAAAGTAAACTATTACTACTTCCTATAATTTCTAATTCAGCTCAATATCTTTTTTGCAATCTTGCAAACTGCTACCCTTTTAATTTGAATTAAAATAAACTAAAGAGTTATCTAAATGAACTTGAGACTAAAGCAGAGCCACTTCTATGATAGAAAGCATATTCTGCTCAATATCTGACCTTAGCATGAATAGTTCTAGACTTCCTTGCTGCACAAGCAACTAGTATATTTAGCAAACAGATATTTTCTATTGCCAAACATACAATTAGTCTTACCTGAAATCAAATTAATCCTGAAGTAGCATATATATTATTGTGCTTAAAGAGTTAGTACACAAAACTGAACCATATATTAAAAGAATAGATTAATTAAATAAAACCTAAAGACAAATATTTTTTTTTTTTTTTTTTTTGCTTTTTTAGCTTTTTTTTTTTTTTTAAACTATTTTTTTATATTAGTTTTATTTGAGTATTTACAGTTTGTTGTAATTTTGTTTTATCATCATGTATTTAATATATTATTTTACAATAAACTTTTTTTAAAATTAAAATTTTTTTCTATTATCATAATAAAGCATCAATTTGATTGGATAGATTTATTTAAGAATTGCAATTCAGGATCTGATCCTAGAATTAATTAACTAATAGTTTTATATAACGAATTCAGGACTGTTTTAGGATCGAACTAAACTGAACATACAATTTAACATCTTTACTATTAAAGTATAAACTAATAAAACTTTATATCATGTGATAAACTAAGAAATAATAATAATATTATCATATATATATATATAGTTATACTGAATATACATTTAATTAATAAGTTAACATTGAGTATACAATATATTTAATTAATCTTTATTGTATAGTTTTTTTAAAACTAATTATTATCAGTTTCAATCTCTAAGATCTTATCAACAATACTCAATACTTCAAAGTCTATATTTCTATAACCCTTACTTGATGTCAGTTTAGATTGTGATTTCAAATTTTTATAATACAATTCTGTATTATTAAAATTAAACAAAGATAATAGCATGGTCTGGTGATCTTAGTGTAGTGGTTAGGTTGCCAGACTGCTATGCAAGAGGTTTGGGGTTCAAATCCCACTATCGACGAATTTGAATAATTACCCAGACCTTTGTATCTAACTTACTGTAAACCCTGTCTGTTTCTGAGGTTGTAACCCTGTAAATCACATTGCACTAATATCATTCAGATATTGGAAGTGTGATGGAATGTTTGGAGAGTGTAACGTTACATGAATAAATTTTGATAGGATCTACGAGCAGGGGACCTGCATGGTAGAAATCCCAAGTTGGTAAAGTAGTACAGCTTTTAATGGTCACACTGGCTAATACTTGATCCAGAAAGGAAACTATTGTCAAAAGATGCTGATCGAGTCGGGTGCGCATAAATCTATTCCACAAAGAGGATCAGTAACACCAACCTGGCTTGGCAGCTAACTGGATTGGGAGGATCTGCCTTGTGAAACATCCGAGAAGATAGACACAGAAAACTGGTGGAGAGCCACAGTAGGAACTGGGGTTGTACGAACATCTGCAAGGGTCTAAGCTAGGTGAATCCGTGAAATAGGCATGGACCGCTCTAGTAGGATTGCTTACGAGGTTAACCGGAGCTCTGCGTGCCACAATATGTTGAGCAATACGCATCCCGAGAGGACCTAAGCTGAGTTAGGTAAATGGATCTGCAACGAGCTAGCTGGCTTAAGCGGTTAGGTGTTACAGTGACGTTAGTTAATTCTGGTATTGGTTAGGTGAACAGAGTGTTTAAATAGGTAACTCACAAGCGGGTTACAGATATAGTAGCTTGTGTAGAACCAAACAGATGATCTATCTGTATGGCGGACTACTTAAATTAGACAATAACTAAAGTTGTACGTGTGGCAGGTTATATACTCTTCATGTAATTACAAACTGTAGCAAATTGTCAACAGATGACCTCATATATTAAACTAATAAAATCCACTCGGCAAAGTAAGCTGCCTTTAATTAAAAAAAAAAAAAAAAGTAATATAGTATAATTAGCATGTTTTAAATTTGTAACAGATTATGCCAATAATATTAATTTACCTGTTTGACTCTTACTTTAGCATTAGTCTTAAAACTGTATTCTGATTTATTTATTCATTTATTTAATTAAACTTTGAGTAATTATTAATAAGCTTCAATTATATAATTATTATGACATATTTAAATAAGAGAGTATATAATATACGATCAATATATACTTCTTTGCTCTTTCACTCTTTTACTCTTTTATCTAAGTAGTTTTTTTTTTATCTGTTATTTAAAAAAAACTAGTAATTTCTATAATAATAAATACTAGTATACAAAAAATTGATTAATTAAAATTTATAATCTACAAATTAAAACAATTTAAATTTTTTTTTAGAATATAGTTCAAATATTGATATTTGACTTCAACTTAATTAATTTATATAGACACTAGAATAAAGATCAGTCAGATAAATTAATATTATTAGCATAACCTGTCACAAATTTAGAACGTGTTAATTTCTTTGTTAATTTGAACTAGACCTACTAAAAAATTAATTGAATTAATTTTTGTTATATGTCAT